GGGGGGGGGCGACAGGGTGGGAGGCGGGGTGAAGGAGGAGCGCCCCATCTTCCCTTTCGGTACGCCAAACAAGCTGTTATTCGGCCGCATTAATTCCGTTCGCTCTATTGCGCCCACAGTCATTCGTTTTGTTTCGTTTCGGTCTTCTTGTGTTTTTGTTTGGCATCTTTGGTCTCCGCGGTTGCTTCGTTTTGCCGCTTTATTCATTGCTTCCACTCCCACACACCTGATGTGTCTCCAGAGTGTGCTGCCACCCTCGCAGAGCTACCGCCGCCAGCCCGTGCAATGGCGGCACACAAGCAGGCATATCCCCGCCCCGCTCACCATCTCGCTCTTCACTCGTCTATCATTGCCCTCTGCCGCACAGCGTCACCCCCTACACCGTATCTGTTGGTGCTGCTGCTGCTCAGACAAGCCTGCACTTCGCCAGCCACGGATCGCGCAGCACCGTCGCCGCCGTCGGCCGCTCGGCGGCATCGGCGCACAAGAGCCGTATTATCAACGCACACGCCCCTGCCGGGACAAACGCCGGGATCGTGTACTCGCACGCACCAATGCGGCGGTACATCTCGTGCAGCGCCTCAACGGAGAGCCGCGATGCGCCGGCATCGACCCCTCTGCCTAAATGTTTCGCGTTTGCAGCCTTTGAAGAAGCAGCTGCTGTGGGGTCGAAAGGGAGCCTCCCAGTGACCATGTAGTAAAGCAACACGCCACAGCTCCATATGTCGGCGGCATACCCATCGCACATGCCCACACTGCTCGCCGTTCCGCTATCCCGAAACAGAGCCGCACTATTCGCCTTGTCTGGCCTCAGCACCTCCGGCGCGACGTAGCCTGGCGTGCCGCATGCCGACGCCATGAGGGTCTGACGGCGCTGCGGCACACCACAGTGCGGGCACGTTGTGACGAGCGTATTGAGCCGTACACCCGTCTCGCCGCCGTCCACCGCAAAGCCATCGCCCGACGTGGAGTCTGTGATGGCGGGGTTGCTGCCGTGCATATTCAACTGTGAGTGGACAAAGATGGTGGGGGAGCGATTCGGTGACACATTGACTGGCTGCCCGCAGTGACGACAGCGCCCGCAGACGCCCGGGAATGGTGCACTGCTGAAGTCGGCGCTGTCCACAATGACAGAGAGACCGAAGTCGCTGATTCTAACCCGCGCGCCGTCGGTGGACAGTAAAATGTTCTCCGCCTTGATATCACGGTGCACAACGCGGCTGGCGTGCAAGTACAGCACACCGTGCATCAGCTGGAAGAAGTAGTTGGCCGCGACCGCCTCCGCGAGCGGACCGCCCTTGTCGATGAGGTCCGCCAGTGTTCCACCGCCGGCAAAGTCCATTACTAAATACACGGCACGCGACGTCTGCAGCACCTCCTTCAGCGTCATCACGTTGCGCCGGTCCAGGGGTGGCGCGACCGGCAGCGCGTGGCCGCTGCCGTCATCAGCACCGCTACTGCTGTTGTTGTTGTTGTTGTTGTACTGCGCCAGGCCGCTCGGTGTGTCGGTGGCGCCGCTCGCCACGTCGGAGGAGATGCGCTTCATGACGTAGATCTCCCGGCGGACGCGCTCGCGCAGCGTGGAGTCGTCCTGCATCTGCCGCTTCTCAAACGTCTTCACAGCGTACTGCATGCCGGTATCCACATGCTGCCCAACGTACACGGTGCAGGTCGGTGTGCTGCTGAGCGTGTCCGTGATACGGTAGCTCCCCACCTTCGGCATAGCGGCTGCACGCACTACGACAAGTAATGGCCAATATAACAGTAACCCCTCTTTTACGGAGTCTCTCACGCCTGCTACTAATGGAAAAAAGAACGTCAAGTGATACAATCCAAACGAACAAACCTAACACAAAAAAAAAGAAGGAAAACACAAAAAAAAAGCTATTCACAGCTGCGTGGTTGTGTGTGATATGTGATATGTGATACCCGAAAAACACACGCAGCCGCACGCACAGACAACCCGTGCAGGTCTCCCTACTCTACTACGTGGATTGGTTTCTGATTCGCCTTCCGCTGTGCGCCGCGTGACGGGGCAAAGAGAGTAAGAGCAATAATAATAACTTTTTTTAAAAAGGACAATAGAAGGGCAAAGCGAACAGAAACAATGAAGCAAAAAAAAAAAGCACCGAAGACATGACTTCATCTGCAAAGGCAGACACACATACACACGCCCCCGCACAACGTCTCCTTACCCCCTCGCCTCCGCGAAGAAGATACAACGGAGGACAACACACTGGCGGCAGAAGCCCGATACAGACAGAGAGAGAGAGAGAGAGGCAACGAATACTGAAGGACAAAAAATAAAATAAAATAAATAGTACAATGCGTCACACAATTCGTCAGGAAATCCATGTAGGCAACACATTAAAGAGAGACAGCAGCGCGCAGTCCAGCGCGGATTTTTTCCCACGCAATCTCGTCCTCCATGCTCGTTGGTCGCGTATTTGGCGCTGTGACTCTCCTCGTTTCTGCATATGCTCTTGTATTGTTCTCGGAGGCTTGGGGAACCGCTTCGCTCAACTGCCGCAGGAACGTTTCGCCCCAGACGCCCGGGGACAGCGGCCGCTGCGTGAACGGCGATAATGCACCGCTCACACCGCCACCCTCCATCAGCCCCGACGGCTGCGGTGTTGCTGAAGACTGAGCCGCTCTTGCTGCCGCCCTCCATGGCGAATCATGAAAGCGACGACTCTGGCGGGGCCCTCGCGGTGAGAGGCTCTTGTCACTGCGGGTGAGAGGCCTGGAGATCGTCCCCGCACGGTGCGGTGATGTGCGGCCGCGCAACGTGTTCCACGTGGGGCTGGAGTACCCCAGCGCAGCAACGGCAGCGTCAACCTCGCGCTGGAACTGATCAAGACGGCACCGCCGCCCGTGCACCAGCACCCGCACACCACCTGGGGCACTGTACGCTTTCTCCATTGTGTCCTCTTCGTCGTCTTCTTCCGACACCACTGCTCCTGAGGAGCGGCGCAGAAACGGGTTGGTCTCCGCGTGCTGTTCGTACTGCAGACGGATGCCAAGATATTCCGCACGGCGACGCAGCCCACTCGACCCATCTGCTTCGCCACTGCGCCTCTCAGTTTCTGCCGATGTTGCCGCTTTTCCTGAGTCAAGCGTCACTGTGTGCAGAGAGCTCAGCACACCAGGGGGAAAGGCGACGACGCGCGTGACCACCGCATTCAGGTTATCATCATCGTCGTCGTCCCCGCCATCGCGGCGAGCCCCTTGGCTTGCCGCCTCATTCCCCGAGAGGAGCGGGGACGACGACGACGACGGCTGCGGTGGCAGTGCTGCCGCTACACGCCGGGCGCAGCGCCGCTCCCAGCGAAACCGGTTGCATGTCGGCATGACGCCCCCGACCTCTCCGGTCTGTTGCTGCGTCAATGGCAGCTGGAGGCCGCACATCCGCACCTCGTCCCGCAGCCGTTGGATCGTTTCCATCTGCTCCACGTACTTTCCCTCCGCCGCGCAAACGAACCGCGCGCGCTGCCGGTAATCCCATACACAGCGTTGCGCTTCCTGCAACTTCAGCCGCAGCGCATTGCAGAACGCCTCATCGGCCTGTATAGCTTCCTTGCGTGCCCCCTGTTTTTTCTCCTCGACGAGGATGCCAGCGTAGAGTGAGGAAAGCGTCTGCTCCATCGTGTTGTTCTCCAAGCGGCAGGCCGCCACCTGCTCCTCCAGCCCCCGCACCTCCGCGAGGAGCTTCTCCGTCGCCGTAAAGAGCTGCTGCTCCAGCCCCGCATCCCCATTACTACTTCTCCCCGCTGTTGTCACCACTGGGGACGGTGGCGGTAGGGGCGTCGATATCGCGAGGTCATTGTAGAGCCGTGTCAGAGCCTCTTTTTTACGCTGGTGTGCTTGTATTTCCAACTCTGTAATGGTGCGGCGCAGCAAGTCCACCTCCTCTTCCGTTGTAGTGACAAGCGTGTGTAGTCCTTGTATGTCGCGCAACAGGCCCGCCTCCTCGCTCGGCGGCCGCAGCACATCCGCCGCAGACCCTTCACTTTGTTGCCGAATGACCAGCAAGGGATTCTGTATGAAGGCAGCTACACTGGGGTGGAGGTTGCTGGTCCTGTTGTTATAGTCATTATTCTTGTCGCTCAACTCTGCTTGTTTCCTGAGAGGTGGCGATGGCGGCGGTGTAGTTGCTGTGTTACGTGGCGGCGAGACCGGAGTCACTGACTTTTTGGACGGCGGCGAGCCCGCCGGCTTTTGCATGGGCGCCCGCTGCTTAGCGTCCCTCCCCATTCTGTTCTAACTCCCCCCCCCCACCTAAAGGAAGAAGGGCACACACCCGGATAACTTAAAGAAAAGGCACATCAAACAAACATACATATGCGCAGAGTCGTTACGAAAGGCGCGACAACGGCGCTAATGCCAAAACAATTTTGCCATGAGCTCCGATTCACATTACCGCATTGTCGATGAGGAACCACAAGAGAAGGAACAGCGAAATAAAGTAAAAAAGCCTTAACGGCGTCACAAGGTAGGTGGAAATGGTGTTACAGAGGCGAGGAGCACTCAGTAAAACCAGAGTGTGGTGTCTACCTACTTGTATGTTTTGTATTGCCTCCTTTTTTTTTTTTCATTTGTCTTTCTATCGTGTACCCTCCTTCCTTGCATTCTTTTCCACATATATTTCCAAACACGCACAAACGCGTTGCACATGTTAACACACCCTTCTACAGAAGGCCTCTCAGCCTCACCCCAACCCCAACGACGTGCTCCCTGTTGATGTTGTTGCCGCCAATATCCTTCAATGGAAGCGTGTTCCACAGTAGCAGTGCTCCTTCGTGCATGGCGGACGCTTCTTGTGGCGGTNTGTTGCCGCCAATATCCTTCAATGGAAGCGTGTTCCACAGTAGCAGTGCTCCTTCGTGCATGGCGGACGCTTCTTGTGGCGGTGGTGGTGTTCGCCTGCAGCGTGGTCGCCCCCGCACTCGTCATGGCGATGATGGTCCATGCCACCTCCCCCCATGTCGTCGTCACTGATATCGCTGCTGCTGCTGCTGCTGCTACTCTCATCACTGCTACTCTCCCCAAAAAGCTTTTTCTTGTGGAACACGCAACAGCTCTTACTGACATGCTGGTTCTGGTGCTCGTGCACATTTTCGTCCCATGAGACGTGGCGCGGCTGATGTTGATGTTGTTGCTGCTGCGCGGGCTGTAGGTGCACGATCACTGCACGACGCGGCACCACCTCCTCTTGTGCTTGTCGCCCAGTGACTGGCTGGCGTTCCATCTGACGATTTGAGAATAGCCCAACAACAACAAGAATAACAAATGAAGTCCTTTACACAGACACACAGAGAGAGAGANAAAGTTTTTTTTTGGTTTTGTGGAAGGGGTTTATTAGCCGATTCTCTTTCGTATTGGTTTTTGTATGATTGGTTGCTCAACAGAGACCCCCTCAGCCGTCACCTCTCAGAAGCTCCGCCGGCGCCAGACGACTCCTGCCTTGGCACTCACTGAGAAACGTGATTTTTTGCTTTCTTTCAAAGGATACAGAGTGCTGGCGGAACTCGCAGTGGTACGCACAGTCTCTCTCCTCCCCTACTATACAAGTGTGTATGTGTGCGTCGGGGGGTTTATATGTGTGTTTGCTGCTGGTGGGTGTAGCTTTATATACGCCCTTCGCCCTAATTTCTGGCACACCGTTTAAGTACTGTGTCTCTTCCATGCGACGCAGAGAGAAGACAGGAAAGCAACGAAAACTAGCAGCAGCAAAGGACCCTGAAACAGGCCAGGTTGGGCTCAAGCCGTTTTTGACATTCGCACGTTACACTT